TCCCTTCACTACTTCAAACAACTTATTGAATACTCGTTTTGATGGTAGGCCGGTTAGTAGACGAACAGATGAATTTGTTTTCAAATCAGAATGTTCTAGTCCCTTACGCTGTCTGGCCTTGAGTTTTATCTTACATGCTTTGAGTTCACTTTCAAGTTCTTGGAGTTTTTCTTTGAGATCTTTGATCTCATTGAACTGCTTGAGTCTTTCCTGCAAGCATTTTTCTTTCATACAGAAGTCAGGATCTTCTAGGTTGTACCAGCCAAACGAATATGCATGATCGTGAGTGATATGGTCGGGTCGACCGGCAGTAGTACAATGTTCTTCTTCTGTTATAAACGAGGAACTACTTGGTTCTTGAATCACAGGAGCATCTTGACTATCATGTGCATTATCTTGAGTATCATCTTGAATATTATCTTGTGTGTTATCTTGAGTATTATCTTGAGTTCTTAAACGTTTCATTTCTTCTAGTAATGATGATCTATCAGTAGGCGGTTTACGGTTACGAGTAGACTTTGTCTCGTAGCCCATTTTGAGTACAGGATCAGGGTTTTCTTTCGTGGGTTTCCCATCAACAAAGTGCTCATTGCAGACTCTCGACGAATTATTAGGTTGCCAGACTTCTCCTTTCGGGCCTTTTCTCTTTAGAAGATGGATCCAGCGCTTTCTACCCTCATTGTTTTTGCGTTCAGTAGGGAACGGAAATAGCTTGAACGGCAGCGGACAGTCACATGGCGGAGTGCCGTGTAAACAATCGTGAACTTCGCATTGCTGTGAAGCCCATTTCTCAAGCTTTTTCCCACTGTTATGGCACCCAAATACTGCACAATTTCTGTGCCCAAAGACCATGTCATTAAACGGCTGCAAAGTAATAAAAATACGATGAGAATCTTTGACTTTTGACAGTTCTTGTATTCGCGAATGTCACTCGCGCGCAGGATTGAATCTACTACCATTAAAAGCTTAAAAACAGCTAAAACAAAGTTAAAATTTGTAACTTACCTTTTGAATATAATACCCACGAAGATTATTTTCCAGTTGATATCACTTACAAGAACAAAAAGACTGTATTATAGATAAAGACACGCTTCAAAGAACGCATTGAATACAGAGACACACGCCATATTGTCACGCTTGGTGCCCACTTTTTTTGTGAGACTATCCCAGAATGCATTGCGCGCGAATTACCTTCCGGAACTCTTGATGCACGTATCATGCGTGCATAACTGAGCTTATTATATAAATATATATATCTATTTATATATAATTGTGGGAAATTGTAGCAAATGCTGTTGGAAAGTGCCCAATACACACGAGTGTAGAGCGAAATACAGTTCAAAATGACTAAAATAAACACGCATGATTCCCTGTAACTCTGAGTTTCCTCTTAAAATCTTGACTGTAGATCGTCAGAAAATCTGTCTGATGATCGCGTAAGCGTGAAACTCACGTCACAGAAAAGTTTTCTTACTGACTTGTCCAACTTCCAGATATACATATATATATATATATATATATATATATATATGTATATATTTATATCATGGGATTTTATAAAATTTGATAAATCCCCTGATGAGTGAGCAATCACGAAAGTATAGTCTCTGTTTTTTCCCCCGCTATCTCAATATATATATATATATATATATATATATATATATATATATATATATATGTATGTATATATATATATATATATATATATATATATATATATGTATAGGGAGAGAAAGAGAGAATTTACCAAAAATATCTGGCATTTGAGTTAACAAATAAAGAAGCCATCTCTGTGCTCTGTTGTAAAGCCGTAGGAAATGGCTAGAGAGCAAAACAATTGTCCGGGGGGAAACACACGAGACGTAGTTTAATTACCATACGTACTGAAGCTTATCACAATGCAACCGAGTAACTGAGTGAAAACCTTCAAAACTCGGACAGTCTATTTCGTTTTCTCCCAGATGATTTTTGTCTCTACTCACCTTATGATTTCATGTTTACTAACCTTTGTTTATATTTAAGTCCACATGGCGATCAGGTGGACACTCAGACATGGTTTGATGTTACTCTGGTTTAAAGATTTATTGACCGAGAAGATTGAAGATTACAACCGAGAAGTTATAATTCATTGAAATTTAATGAGTGTAACCGAGAAGTTACAATTCAGAGACCCAACGTTTCAACACTCCTAAACCAGTTACAACTAGTAACACCCTTAAACCCATTCAGGGTTTTACGGAACCCATCAAGAAAAGTTTGAATTGCTATAACGTTAAAGTTACTCAAAAACTTTTTTTAGACTTTAGGGTACTGATACTTTTGCCAAACCTAAGGATCCTGTCACTAAAGAACAACGAATCGACGCTATTGGTCATATTCCGTGCAATGAATGTGATCACGAGTATATCGGACAGATCAAGCGACAGTTTAGTACACGTTTGAAAGAGCATCAAAAAGCGGTCTTCTTTTGCGAAAAAGGAAATTCACCTTTGTCAGAGCA